AATATTCTTCATTCTCAGCTGGTTTTCATGGTGATACTGAAAGATATCTTTGAACCTTAAGAGTGATTTCACTCTTTCAAACTAAGGTTATTAGCAACTTCTACTTCTAGAATTTTTTGTAATGCTTTATCCAGCTGCCAAATTGCATAAATTCATCTAGTCATTCAATAACCACATACAACCATAACATATCTAGCCAAAATTAGTATGTAAGTAATAAGATGATTATAAATGGACAATGACTTTTCCCCCTCATTAGACGAGATCGGGCGCGTTCAGGGTGGTATGGCTGTAGACTTCCCCCTCATTAGAGTCTATTTTCTCAGATGTGCTTAGGATCTTGCTCCATCAGTCCACTGCCCTCTATCTAATATCAAGCTCTCCTTCGCCACTGAGATCTCTGCCCTTGGGCTGTAATCTAGTGCAAGTCTCCATCATTGTACGGGTAAAAATTAAGTATATCTCTATCTTCAGCACTGTTTCTTTTCTGTTCTCAGCCAAGATTTAAAAAGGAATATTATGTTCCTTGTTTCTACTTCTTTATTTCTGAACCTTCCATAGCCTCCCTATACACTCCTCTAAAACTACTCTTCACTCTGTCCTCCTAATGCCAAATCCAATAGACTCTCACCAGGGAAGAGTCCACCTTGTTGACTCTGCTCCTTGACATTCTCTCCTACCTTAGCCTCTGGGGCACACTGTCCCCTGGTTCTCCCGCCCCTCTGAACTGTCCCGAGTCTCCTTGGCATCACCTCTTTCTCCACAACCTATTCCCTAACCTGGGGTTTCCAGACTTTCTTCCATACATTCTCTTCTCTCCTCACTCTTCCAGGAAGCCTTCGCTAATCAGGGTCGCCTCCTGTGTAGTTACTGGTAATTGCACCCATTCTTACTGGAATGTAAACTCCTCTAGGGTCTTCTTGTTTCCTTAGGGACTCTACCTCAGCTCCTTCAAGATTTTTGAGATGGAGAATGACTCATCAAACTGACATGTTATAAAGACTGATCTGGGTGTGGTATGTAAGGCTGAATGTATTGGATAGAGCCTGGGGGCAGGGAAACCAGTTGCAAAGGCATAGGAGTACAAGTATGAAATAACAACAGCCTGCACTGCCTTGGCAATAGAAAGAAAGAAAAGCCAGGGAAATATTTCAGTATAAGTAAGTACAGGCATACCTCATTGGATTGCTCCTCACTTTATTGAGCTTCACAGGTGTTGCATTTTTTACAAACTGAAGGCAAGATACTCCACCAGCTAAAAGGTTACAACTCATGCCCAGCTGGTGCTGCTCAGTGGTTGAGAATTGCCTTCGGAACCAAGAGATCAAGGTTTGATTCCTGGTCAGGACACATGCCTGGGTTGCCTGCTCGACCCCTAGAAGGGGGCATACAGGAGGCAGCCGATCAATGATGTTTCTCTCTCATTGATGCTTTTATCTCTCTATCCCTCTCCCTTCCTCTCTCTCTAAAAACATATATATAAAAGAAAACAATAAAAAATATTTCAAAATAAAAGCATTCTTAAAAAAAGATTACAACTCGCTTTATTGTGATACTCTATTACTGTGGTCTGGAACTGAATCCACAAGATCGCCAAGATATACCTATATTTAGTGACAGAACTTGATGACGCATTAAGGAAGGGAGAGGAAATGCCAGAGATGACTCAAAAGTTTCAGACATGAAAGACTAGAAAGGTAATACCATCATTAACAGAAATGGGGTGATTAGGTATAGGAGATAGGTTTGGGAGAAAGATGAGGCATTCAGTTTTAGATATGGAACATCAAAGGAGAGATGCCCCACAGGCAGATGGAAGACTGGACTCTGAAATCAAAAGAGAAATCAGGATTGAGGCTATAAATTAGGGAACTGTTTCCAGAAATAAGATAACAAAAGCTACTCAGGTTTCTGGGTACACAGTAGGTAATTAACATTTACTAAATAAATAAGTCCCTTGACATTTTTTCCTCTATTCAAGTACCAGTGCAAGCAATAGGATGCCCAAGATACTCACCAACACTCCACAATACCTCTCTCTTCTACTGTAAGTAACCCCCAGCATTTGCTTTTTCTATTGCTTCTTCCTGGTTGATCATTGCAAGATACTACAAAAACATGCTCTCTAATCTTAGGGCCTTCGCAGACATGCTAAACTCCTTTCTAGGTCATCTCATGTTGCTGTTCTATTGAACACCCTTACAACAGGTTTTCTAAACCTCTTCATTTTCCCCAAGCTTCCAACCTAAGGGTTTGCTTTCTAGCGCCACATTTGATGCCTGTGGTTCCCTTCAAAGCAGAGCTTTAGACAAAGATAGTTTATTGGAGAATATGAGTTTAGGGAATAGAATAAGGGGCTCAGGGCAAACAACATAGACAAGAAAGAAAAGTCAATATAAGAATGCATTATTCAGTTGACTGATGCCACGGGCAACTGTTTGGTTGATCTGAGGAACCTTGTGAGAGGCCTTATGAAATATATCTCACGATTCTGTATTTGAGTGAAGAAGAAGAAAGAGGAAAGAATTTATCCATCAGTTCTTGTCTACCATTGCTCAAGGTTGTACCACGTGCTTCTAGTTGCACGTGTGTGGAGAGCTGGTTTCTGCAGATATCCCTTTATTACGCAGGGAGTGAGAGAGGCAAGGTGACATTATGTTGCTCCTGAGAGAAGGTGGTTGATGCCTGCATAGAGTTGATCATTGGGCAGCATTGGAATAAGAGGGAAGGCTGGAAGGATATAACAGGATGCACAAAAGATTTTTAAACACTGCCTCTCTCTGAGTTTCCTCTATTTGAGTTAATGGTATCTCTCTCTTCAGCTGCTCAAGGCCAGTCCTGGACTCCTTTCTTTCTCTCACATTTCACATCTAATCTTTCCAGAAATCTTATTGGTTCTACCTTCAAAGTATGTCCAGAATCGGACCACTCACCATCTCCATTGCTACTCTTTGATTATTGCCAAAATGTCTCTTTCTTAGCCTTAACTTGCTCTCAACACTCACTCTGCCTCCTAATTTATTTACAAAATCTGGGCCATTCAATATGACTTCTGTTCTCAATCCAAATATTCTTTCGTTCTCACCCCACTCTTTTTTCCTTCCCTATTGTCTTCTCCTTTCCAGGGCTCTATCTGTGCATTTTATCACATTTCTCTCAACCTGCAGGACCTTATTATATGATTTCCTTCTCTAATATCTCTCCACTTCAGTTATTCTTTTCTTTTGGTCTACTAAAGCATGCAAGTCCGCCTTATCCTTAAAAAACAATTTTCCCAACACTGTGATCCCCTCAGAGCTAGCATCTTATCACTCTTTTTCTGTGTTACTAATTAATAGAAATTTTACAACTATATAGAATCTTTTTGTTGTTGTTAATCCTCACCTGAGGATATTTTTTCCATTGAATTATAGAGAGAGTAAGAGAGAGAGGATGAGAGAGAGAGAAAGAAACATCAATGTGAGAGAGACACACTGATTGGTTGCCTCCTGCACATGCCCCCACTGAGGCAGGGATTGAACCTGCAACTGAAGTACATGCCCTCGACTGGGAATCCAACCTGAGACCCTCAGGTCTGAGGGCCGACACTAACCACTGGACACCCAGCCAGGGCAAGAATGTTGATAGTGGTTTGAATTCTTGGTAGAGCGCTTTTGTGTTATATGTCCTATTTGTTTGTGTCAGAGTCTCCAAAAGTTTCTGTAGGACAGAAATAATATAACTCAATCATAAAATTTTTTCAGCTATGACTAATCAAGAAATAGTTGTGAGATTTAGGATGCTGACTTCTGAGAAAAAATAAATAATATAATACTACTTTGCCTTTATCTGCTTCCAAGTAGTTCAAAGTGTAAATGCACTTAGAGTTGTCATGTGATGGTTATCTCTTAATCATAGGCAGGGTTTTTCTGATGTCTATAACAATTGCAATTATACTCATTTTAGGCTGTAAGCAAGAGTCTTGGGCAACCCCTACAGCAACAAATGTAGATGTTAGCGTGAGAAGTGAGCAGTTAAGTTTTAAACTTGTAAAGCATTATGAGCACACTAATTTTGTTCATTATTAATTTAGGTAAAATCAATTTGACTTTATAAAAGTTATTTACTTGAAAGTTGATATTGACTTCTCCTCTGTATGCTACATATACACCTACATTTCTCCTTCTATCCCCAAAAGCTACCTTTTAGCCCTGTTTCACAATAGCTGCCTTCCTGAATTGTTGACGAAGTTAAAGAAAATGCCAGAATGTGCTGCAAAGTATTTGAGCTAAGTGCTTAAGAATAAAACATTTGAAAACAAATTAGTTTTTATAACTAACTTTTAGAAAAAGGTATTTTTATAAATTTATAAAAATAAAATATGTATTTTATGTTATTCTAACAAAATTAAATCTCCACAACTAGAAAGCTTCTGAAAAATACTTAAGAATATTGTGATTTACAATAACACAAGTTTATTTTTTATAGTGAAATATAAAAATTGAATTAAAAATCATTTTGAGAGCAACTGCTGGATATAAAACACTTTGCCAAGTACTGAGCTTAATATTTAAATATAAGAAAGTCATAGTGGCTCATATTAAAGGTCTATGTTACAAACATATATAGAAATACATTCTATATTATTATTCTCATTTTATAGATAATAAGGCTGAAGTTTAGCAGGGTAAAGAAATCGTCCACATTCTCACAGTATGTAAATGGAAGAGGTGAAATTTAAATTCAGATTGATTAGATGTCAAAGTCTATTCATTCAACAAGTATTTCGGAGTGCCTTTATATGCCAGACACTGTTATAGAGACTTGGGCTACATCAGGGAAGAAAACAGAAGATCCTTGCACTCTTGGTGCTCATATTTATTAGCTGACAACTCCTTTGCCCCATCCCCTGCCTCCTATCTACACAAATAAAGAAAAATTTACTTTCCCAAGCTTAACCCTTCTACCTAGATTGTCTTTATCACAAGTCTCCTTTGAAATCTGGCTTAATCAATTATTGCCTCTTCAACTTCCATGTAAATATCAATTATTGCCTCTTCCACTTCCATGCAATTATACTCATACTTATCTTGAAAAATGCCTCTACTTGTCCCTGTTTCCATTCCTTTTTCTTGTTCCACACCACACTCCACAGCACCCATTCTCTCTAACCCTTTGATACCTTGTTTTCCTTCCAAAGCTTGTTTACAGTCCTCATGCCTCTCCATTTCTCTACAGCATTAACCATGCTAAGCACTCCTGGGAACTCCTGCTTGACGGATGAGAAATCTCCTTAGCCTAGCTTTAAAAGAATGGTATGTCTACAGTATACCCATGAGTATCTTTAAGAAGAAGGAATAGGGACCTTCTCCTGTGAATACTGTCATCACAGTGAGATGTTGAGTAAGTCAGAAAATTGGCTGCCTTTTCCTGAAATCATCTAGGATCTTTCTTTTCACATTTTTAAGATCTTTCTAATACAGACAAGATGATATATTCATATTCATTGTGTCATATATTTTACTGGAAAATAGAAGTAACTATAAGCTAGTACAGAAATCAGACATAATTTCTACCACTTATCAGGTGACTCAGAACTGCTTCTGACTCAAGATACATACTCAGAAGCAGATACAAGAATTTTAAAAGCATAAATTTAGAGTAACTTAATGTTAGGACAAAAAGTCCCACATAAATCAAGTGTATTCCAGCCCAGTAATAACAATGTTTATTATAGTGCTTCTAAATCATTAAGAAAAGATAAAATCAAAAAAAGAAAGAAAAAGAAACAACAAAAAGAAATTAAAAAAAGATAAAATTATGTTCAATATACTATTCAGGAGTCTGAGAATGTGTGTACTGTACACACACACATACACACCAACTACCCAGGTAAAGAAAGAAAACATAGCCCGGCTGGTGTGGCCCAGTGGTTGAGCATCAATGTATGAACCAGGTGGTCACAGTTCAATTCATGCCTGGTTTGCGTGCTCCATCCCAGTAGGGGGTATGCAGGATTGATGATTCTCTCTCATTGATATTTTTTTTAACTTTTCTTTTAACTTTTCTTTTTATTGCTTAAAGTATTACAAAGAGTAGTACATTTGTCGCCCTTTTTTCCCCCTTGACCTTCCCCCAGCCTCCCCTACCCCCCAGTGTCGTGTGTCCATTGGTTGGGCTTATATGCATACATACAACTCCTTTGGTTGATCTCTTACTGCCCACCCCCCCACCTGCCCCAATCCTCCCCAGCCTTCCTGCTGTAGTTTGACAATCTGTTTAATGCTGCTCTGCCTCTGTATCTATTTTTGTTCATCAGTTTATAATCATCATTGATATTTTTATCTCTCTCCCTTCCTCTCTGAAATCAATAAAAATATTTTTTAGAGAAAGAAAACATAGCCTGAACCCCAATATTTATGGGATTTGTCCAAGTTGTTACACATAGCTGTAGTTTATTCATTTTTGTTACTCTGTGGTGTTCTATCATATACATTCACCAAATTTATCCATTCTTTTATTGATGAACACTGGGTTGCTTATAGTTTTATCTATGAATATTCTTGTACATGTCTGATGAATATGTAGATAGGAGTGAAATTGTCAGGTCACAGAATATGCTTATTTTTAGCATTAATGGAAACAAATTGTCTTCCAAAGTGGTTATGTAAATTGGCACTCCCACCAGCATCATTACATAAGTCCCAGCGGCTGCATATCCTCACTAATACTTGGTATTGCCTTTCTTTTCAGCCGTTCTCGTATGTACGTAATAACATCACACTGTAAATTTGCCTTTTTCTGATTGTTAATGAGGTAGATTATCTTTTTGCATGTTTGTCATTTACATTTTTCTTTGGTGATATCCTCTTTATATCTGAAAAGATTTTGATATTAAGTGGTTCAAATAGACACAATAAATTTTGTCAGGTAGAACAGGGGCAAAGGACAGCCATCACAGCTCTTTAATTTGCTACTTATTGGGCTTTGTGAGCAAAGCAAGAAAAGACCAAAAGTTGCTCTGCCTTACAACATAGAGTCATTGTTTCTATGTACTGAGCTTGAGGCCTGAAAATACAGGGAAGTTATTATTTTCTCAATAGGCTTTAGAGAAAGTTATCTGTTTCAAAGTGTAATGTGTAAATGTTGTGGTGTCTACAAGAACAGGGAGGCCAGAGGAGCTCTGCCCCTTACATTCTCTCCAGGCCTCAGGAGAGAAAAGACATTAACTCAAAGATGAACTCCAATCAGGTTCTAGTGGCTTTTGGTAGCAGAAAGGAGTCTCATAATCAGAAGACATTTTAAAGAGAGACTGTAAGCCTGACTGGTCCTCCCTCATAGGCTGAAAGTGAAGTTGCAATGGGAGCTGGATGGGAGGGACAGCTAACCACTGCGTGATCATATATGGGAAATTCACAAATACAGAACAGTTTCACTTCCCCTCCTGTCAGATTATTGAAGCTTTGGTAAATTCTCTTCTTTCAAATGAGAAAAATGCATCCCTTATTTGCCAGACATCCGTACAATAGTTAAGGATAATTAATCATGCTAGAGAAACAATAGGCTGTTGCAGAAAGCAAATGCCTTTGTAAGACTGGGTTTTTAAATTTCCCATTTGGCACATAAAACCTTGGGAAACAAAGTTTTCTCATCCATAAAGAGTAAATATAGATTCTAGACTTATATATGTTTCTATGTGAATTCTATCTAAACTTTAAGGCATATATACATTATAATCCATACTATCTAGTCTATTCTAGAAATACAATGCCATGGAAAGTTTTATTACTTATTTTACAAAGTTAGCGTAATCCTGAGAACAAAATCTGAAACACATAGCACACACAGAAAAAGAAAACCACAGAGCAATATTATGAATGAAAACTGATGCCAAAAAAAGTCCAAATATAGTATTAGTCATAAAATCCAGTAATATATTAACAAAATAACACACCCTAACCAAGAAGGTTATTTTGAGACTGTACAAATGGTTCAACATTAGATCAACAAATACATCTCAATACGTTAATAGATCAAAAGAGTAAAAATCCAAGATTGCTTTGAGAGGGAACAAAAACGAACTTGATAAAATTCACTGTCTGATCTTCACTGTAATAAAAAAAACAACAACAAAAGTATAAATGAAGACACAATGAAGTATACATAGCAAATTTGAAACTTACATTAAAACCTTAATTACATTTCTATCAAAATTTGAAATAATAAAAAAAATCCTCACTATTGTTGCTATTATTCATATCTATTCAGGAAGTTGGCTAATAAAACAAGAAAAATAAATAAGAAGTATGATATTAAAATCTTAGAGAAATTTATAATTATGTGTAGATGATCTAATTGGAAAACCAAGAGTCACCTAAAAAAAAATTACCACTAATAAGAGAGGTTCAGAAAGATGTTTGGTTACAAGAAAACTTTCCTGTACAGTAGCAGTAACCATTTGGAAAATATAGGGGAAGCAAGATCCCCTTCAAAAAGAGGCCCGAATTCTCACTTGATATTTATTCTGCTTGAAACACTTTCTTTGCATCTCTGTATGCCTACTGCTCTCATCATTCCCTTCTCATCTTAATTTCCTAGTCTTTAGAAAGACTTCTCCCCTTTCTAGGCCCGAACACTATTAAGCGTTTTTCCAGGCAGAAATTGCTGCTATGTGTGTTCGCATGTGCTTACCTTTCCTCCTGGGTACACAGAACACACTTCCAAGCCTCCTTTGTGGCTAGTTGGACCCATGTGACTGAATTCTGGCCACTGTAATATGGGAGAAAATGCCACTTGTAAAGCAGGGGGCGGAAAATTCTCAAGCATTTCTCTACTCCCCCTTCTCTTCTCCTGTCAACTAAGTGATAATATTCCAAAGACCTAGAGAAGGTGGAGACACAAGTTGGAAGTAAGATGGAACCACAGTTTAGAAGAGAATTGCTCCAGGGAGCTGCCCACTCAGGAACAACCACGCTGGCCTGTTGCACGAGCGGGAAGTACGTTTCTTACCAGTAAAAAAATTTGGGTTGTTTATGACAATAAGAATAAATACATTTACTCCATGTCAGATATTATAGCACTGTAAGTAGTTTAGGGCTCACAACTTCATTTTCAGATGAGAAAATACCAATTTAATGATTTTCGTTTGTTTGCCCAAGGTCACATAGCTACTGGAGTAGAGGAGCCACTTGTTTTTGGCGCCTATGCTCTTTACAGCAGGCTGCACTGGCTCACAAAAGCAAGTACGCTTTTGAAAAAAAGTAATGAGAGGACCTTATATTACCAGAAACAAAAACATATTGTAAATCTATAAAAATAAAAAAGAATAAACAAGAGAGGTAGACACACAAATCAATGGAACAGAGTTACAGATACTCCCCAGCAGGATACTCAGTTGATTTTTGACAAGGATGCTAAAGCAAGTAATGGTGCTGGAGTAATTGGATAGCTATAGGCAAAATAAATAAATACACTTCAATTTAAAACTCACACCTTTTACAAAAATTAACTCAAAATGGATCATAGTCTTAATTAAATACAAAACATAAAAGCTGTAAATTTTTAGAAGAAGAAAATCTTTGGGACCTAGGGCTAGGCAAAGAGTTCTTAGTCTTGACACCTGAAAATCAAGATCCATAACACCCAACACCCTGGTAAGAGGAACACTTTTTCTGCACCTTTGTATGTCTGCTGCTCTCATCATTCTTTTCTCATCTCCATTTCCTATTCTTTAGAAAGACCTCTCCCCTTTCTAGAATGAAAAGACAAGCTATGACTTGGGAGAAAATATTTGCAAACTAATATCCACCACCAAAGGGATTATGTAAATTTAATGTAACATATAAAGAATTTTCAAAATTCAACAGTTAAAAAACAACCCTATTAGAAAATGGACAAAAGACATGAACAGACATTTCACTGAAGAGGATATGTGGATGGCAGATAAAGCATATGTAAAGATGTTCAACATCATTAGCCATCAGGGAAATGCAAATCAAAACCACATGAGATATTAGTACACACCTATTAGAATGGTTAAAATAATAAATAATGACAACAATGCTGGCAAGAAAGCAGAGAAACTGAATCACTTGTTGCTGGTGGGATTGTAAAACGTTTAGTTGCTCTGGAAAATAATCTCCTTTAGTGGGTCAGTGAACTAATTTTTTTTTTTTTTTTTACTGGTTTGTGTTGCCTTGCCCTCGAAGTAAATAAACTTTGTTTTGCT